CATGAAGGGTAGAAATGAAGAATCTCATATATTTAAACAGATCATTAGAACTTAGAAAAGACAACCCAATTGTATTGAGAAAACGAGGGGCGATTTACCGTCTATTAGGTAGATATGAATGATGAATCACTTGCTGATTTATCGCTGTTTTCAAAATGGTTGAGAATAGCAAGATTTTCAAAAAATATTTTTTTTATGTGAAAACCCGAAAACCCGATTAGTTTAGAATGATGATCGATTCGCAATTTATGTAAAACTCAGGTAATTGTTATCAATAAACAATTATACGACCAACTCCTATTCAGTACAATCGTCCGATAGTCATGCAAGTGTATCGTAATACACTTCATTTGAACAGGAGTTGATCATATAATTGTTTATTGATAAAAAATATTTTTTGAAAATCTTGCTATTCTCAACCATTTTGAAAACAGCTATAAACAGATCATTAGAAATTGAGCCAAATAATGTAATTGCGTTAAGAGAACGTGGTGAAACTTATTATAATATGCGAAGATACGATGAATCTCTTGAAAATTTAAATAAGTCTTTGACTATTAAACCAGATGATGTACCTACGTTAAAGAGACGAGGAATCATTTATCGTATGATGGCCAAATATAAAGAAGTCCTAGGTGACATAACAAAATTACTAGAAATTGATCCTAGAAATGCTTTGGCATTAGCAATCCGTGGTTCAATTTATCGAATGATGCACAATGACAACGCAGCACTTGCTGATGTGCTTAGATCATTAGAAATTGAACCAAATAATGTATACGCCCTAAAACTTCGAGATCGACTTACAAAATGGTAGAAATTTAATAATAATTTAATAATTTAATAATTTTTCGTTATTTGAGTCTTTCATAATATTTGAAATTAGTTGGTTGCATAAAAGAATTAATCATATTTATGATATTGACCAAGTTTTATCGTATTTGTCGTCGTAGAAAAAGTAAATATTTCATACAGAAATGTAAATGTACTGTAAGGTTGGGAGATTTATTTAATTTATAAATTTAATTGACTTTTAATTACCGTATAACCATACTTGAATAGTGATACATGTGCAATTATTGGTTTAACCACGTAATGTCTGTTTTTGATTTACATGTGTTAAAATAGACACTTTAAATAAAGGATATTGACACATTAAAAATATTTGGTTATTGTCATTTTCAGTATAAAAAAACTTATTTGTTTCGGCTTGATCAGTGTGGGCGTGGTAGAAATAATGATTTGCACTAGAATAGTTCAACGTTCAACGTTCCTTAATTTTTAAATATAAATAAAAGAATTAAAAGCTAGTTTTTAATTAGCACTAAAATCATGTTATTTATATTATGTTTTGATCTAATGATATGGCACGTATAATAATTTTAATATCGATAAAATTTATCCTTTTTTGTTATGAAAATTTTTTATTTAACCGAAAATAATAATAATAATAAGACCAAAAAACTATACTAGTGAAATGTTTTTTAGCTATTTTAAAAATAACATTCAAAGGACCTTAAAATTTATACGTATTTATTAAAATTATTATTGCTATGCTGATATATCAGTTTGCAACTAAACGAGCCAAGACAATACAAATGTATAATTACTACATTCATATGTATATAAATAAATTCTCCAAAAAAAAAAAGAAAAAAATAAATAAATAATTCTAAAATAAAAATAATCACAAATAAAAATAAAAATAATCCAACTTAATCACAAATAAAATAAATCTCATTCTCACTTCTCGCATCATCATGATATTCACATAACCTAACACCCACAGTTTGTAATTCTAAAAATTTTTCTTGAAATTCAAGGCACCAAAATTCGAAATTATTCTTATTAAATATTATTTTTCTTGGCATATTCATTAAATTTTCTTTTGCACATTCGCCAATGATTTCAACGCTTTTGGGATCAAGTTTCTTACAACTTCCAAAATCCAATACATCAAGTTTTACCGACATTTCTTTTAACAAAATTTTTAAGCTAGTATAAGAAATATCTTTATACATTGTAATAATAAACGTTTTTAACGTTTTTGGAAAGTAATTAACCAACATACGATAATCATCATCTGTATATTGATTAAAAAATGGGTTCCATATAGAAAGTGTTTCTAATTTTGGACATGATTGTAAAAGATTAAAAAGTAATGGGATCGAATGAAAATCAATGGTCGATTCAAAATGAATTAAATTTTGACTACAAAATGTGCCTATGGTTCGTAAAATTGTGGATAATTCTACTGAATGAATTTGAATATTTAAATTAATATGTGTTAATTGTGATTCATATACATATCCTCCTTCATCATCATTAGATCCCTTATTTTCGTTTTCGTTTTCGGTATTATTATTATCTCCATTAATATTTTCTTCATCTTGTTTCAATGTATTTTTAAGTAACTGTTCAAGATCTACTGGAATAAATTGTTGTCCAATAAAAATCTTTTTTAATTTTGGAAATGGTCCCACACCAAGTGGCATTTTTACCAAATTTTGATCACTATTTTCAATCCTCAACTCTTCTAATTCCGGCCAACAAAATACTTTTGATGGTACATGATTATCTTGAATAAATGAATTTTTTATAACTATCGATTTCAAATGAGGTGCTTGAGATTCCAAAGCTGCGAATATTTTATGAATAGCATTTCCAGCCATATATGATGAATAATTGGAAATTACTATATGTTCCAAGGAAGATTGTGATGTTATTAATGAAATTGCTCCAAGGTTACCAGTATTCAAATCTTGAAGTTTTAATATTTTTATTTTTTTACAAATTTTTGAATAATATTCTTGATAAGTTTCATCATCAACACATTTAGGCATGAATTCTACAAGATTTGATAAACAAATTCTAGCGTTAGGTAACCTTGGTATAACTCTAAGATAATCAACATTCTTCATACTATAACATTGTTGAAATTGAAGATCCAATAAATCAAGTTTTATTCCCGCAGTT